TAACCCCTTCTCCTCCATTCTCCCACTGGGATTGTGGGTATGCACACACATGCGCCCAGTGTGAATCTCAAGCCAGTGACTCTGGGACTCGAACCACAATCAGCCACATGAGAGTCCAGCGTCTTAATCCCCATGCCACCTGCAGTGCCCCCCCCCCATAGTTCTTTTTAAACTATAATACAATGGCAGTGGTCATGCCATAACCCCTTCTCCTCCATTCTCCCACTGGGATTGTGGGTATGCACACACATGCGCCCAGTGTGAATCTCAAGCCAGTGACTCTGGGACTCGAACCACAATCAGCCACATGAGAGTCCAGCGTCTTAATCCCCATGCCACCTGCAGTGCCCCCCCCCCATAGTTCTTTTTAAACTATAATACAATATGAAGGGCCAGCAGGTGGTGTAGTGGTTAAGGGACTGGACTCCCACACGGCCGATCACAGTTTGAGTCCTAGACCTGGTGGGTGGCTTGCTCTCTCCTCTCTCTCTTCTCTCTGGTGAGCGCATGTGCCCTATCGCAAAACAAAACAAAACAAAACAAAACAAAAAAACTATAATAAATGAAATGAAATAATAAAAATTAAAATATTAGGTTGTTGGAAAAGTCATGATGTATTTTCTATGTTTTTCTATGCAAAAACGCATCACAACTTCCCAGACAATCCAGTACATATGAATCTTTTAGGATGTTCTGTATAAGCTATTTGAGGAGCTGGCCAGCTGATGGCCTTAAATCAAACACAGAGACCAGGGGCCGGTACAGTGATAACACGCCTGGACACACGTGTGCCTGGGATCTGGGCTGCCAAAGGCTGGAGGTGGAGACTTTATAGAGGGCGCCTGTCTCTCTGACTCTCTGTTTTTCTCTCCCATGAAACCAATAAATAAATACCTAATAAGAGACAACAGAGGGACCAGCAGTCGACGTAATGGCTCAGTCGCTGGACTCCCATGAAGTCGACTGTGGTTTGAGTCCTGGACCTGTTGGCTTAAACTCATGCTGGGCACATGTGCGTGTGTTCCCAAGATCCTGAGAGGAGAATGGAGGAGAAGGGAAGAGATTGCAGTGTGGCCATTCCCCCTGGGGGGTGATTTCTCATTTTCTGTCCCTCTGTCTCTCTCCTTTCTGGAGAGCGCATGCGCCCTATAACAAAAACCTCTTCAAAAATAAAAGACAACAGAAAGCAACATGGATGCATATTGGTAGAAGTCAACCGAAATGCAAACCGACTCCTGGAAGTTTCTGCGATGGTCTCAATAACCCCTGACTTTTAGAACCGGCCTCAAACGTCTTTACTCTCCCAAACGCATCTCACAACACCTTCAAGAGCCCGCAATCTGACCTCTGCTTAGGTATTTCCACGGTGTTTCATAAAACAACCTGAGGGAGGGGCGTGGCGGGTGGGGTCCCTGTGCTTCCGCCTTCACTAAGTCTTGCTTTATCTGCTGTCTGTTTTGGCTATTCCACATTTGCTCTCAAACCCCAGATAGCGTCAATCAACACTTCACCTGATTCTCACATGAATCAGAAACAGCACGCCTGAAGAGCATTCGCGAGGGAGCATCTACACGGCCACACCACAGAAAGGCGGGTTACTACCAATGAGTCCGCTTTTCACTTGTGGGCAAATATGCGTAGTCAGTTTCCCCAGCAACCTCTCCTCACGCCCGCCTCCCTTGCCCACTCATTTCTAGCGCAAGGCGGGGTAGTAGACAGAGGTGGGCCTGTGACCCCAGGCTGTGAGGCAGGAAGCCTCTCTGTTCCTGGAGAGGTGTTGAACAAGGTTACGACGACTTTGCTGTGCAGAGGAAGACACTATTGATATCCATTTATCCCAAGGATGCAAGAGCCTTTAAGCTTTTTTCCTAAGGTTTTTGCTATAGACAGAGAGAAACAGAGAGAGGAAAGGTGAGAAGTCACCCCTGAGAGGGGATGGCCATGCCTCAATCCCCTCTCCTCCATTCTGCTCTCAGAATTTTGGATATACATGCACATGAGCCCAGTGTGACTTTTTAAGTCACCAGGTCCAGGCCTTGAACCATGGTCGGCCATGTGGAGTTCTGTCCCTAACCACCATGTCTCCTACTGCCCCAATCTTTAATTTTTTTAAAGAGATTTTTGCCATAGAGTGCGTGCACTGGACAGAGAGACAAAAATGAGAAATCACCCCCAGGGGATGACCATGCTGTAATCCCTTCTCCATTCTCCTCTCCAATTTGGGGGCATGCACGCACATGCGCCTGGCGTGAGTTTTAAGCCATCAGGTCCAGGACTTGAACCCCAGTCGACTATGGGGGAGCCCAGCAACATAATCGTTACGCCATCTGCTGGTCTCATTTTTAAACGTTTTTTTAATATTTTACCAAAATCGATCATTTTACATGTATATTTACTCTGACCTCAATTTAGTCCATAGTGAAATTGTTATATTTTTACTTTTAATTAGAAAGCAAACTGGAATCCTTTACCAGATCAGTCTTTGATAACCTGTGTACTGACAGGTACAGGACTGAGAGTTAGAGGCCGTCCAATCTCTGACTCTGTAGCGTAGTCGCTGCAGACACCTCTCTAGCTCTTACAGCCTTGGCTCCTTATCAGCAAAATGGGGATGATAAAGCCTTGCTAAGAGGCTCTTGTAAGGATAAGTGAGATATTGTACAGGGGACCTTGAAGAGTTTGGGCAAAAGTAGGATTGGGCGAAATAAACAGGATGAGTTTATTTTGGTGCAAAATAGTTTGAAACCCATGCATAGTTTTTTCAAAGGACACATTCGGCATGAACTTTTGGAAGACCCCTTCATATGGAAAGCAAATAGTGCCACAGAGGGCGGCTCATTATGTAAGTCTTCCCATAAACGATCCCTCATCGAGCCTGCACTGCTGCTCCCTGATTGGTGGTGGTTGTTTACATAGAGAAGGTTTCAGAAGCCCGGGACTGACGACTGACGAGATTCTTTGCAATGCTCTAGGAATTACAGTGATCTCCCTCCTGAGTGCTGAGTGTCGGAAGGTGAGTTCTCGAGTGGGGGTGGAGGATTCTCATGTGAAGATCCTCTCTCCACTCTCGATTCATTCACTCCGGTCAATGTTGCTCCAATTTCTATGAAGTAAAAGGTTTTCTCTAATCCATACACTGAACTGTGGCCTGACTTCGGGAGATCCGAGGGAGTAATTGCTTTGAGGAGGTTCTAGCAACATCAAACACAAGAGTAGGGCTAAGTGGTTTGTCCAGTAGCTTTTAAAATTATTGCTTATAAAAGCAAGAAGAAAGAGATTTTCTTTGGTTTTAAGGCGAGGATTTGACTAATTTTTTTTCTTTTTGAACTACAATTCCCAGAATGCTGTCTATCTTAAAGAAATGAAAGCCACTTGAATTTCATGTGGAGAGTCTGAGATCAATTTTATTTGTTCACTTAATGGCTCATAAACTTCTCAGATCTAAGCAACAACAGATGCAGGGAAGACTCCCTAGCTGGAAGTGAGATAGAGAAAGACATTTTTCAGACATTCTGGGGCTATAAGCTCTAGTTCTGATTTTTTTTTTTTTTTATAGTGGAGAATGGATCCCCCTAAGGTCAACCCAAATCCTATGGCTATAGCCATACGTGGTTTATAGTCAATCACCATAAACTTCTAAGGCAAATCAACACAAAGAAGATAGCATTATTGGGGCCGGCGTGGTGGTTAAGGCACTGGACTCCCACATGGCCGACCGCCGTTCGAGTCCCAAACCTGGCAGCTTGCTTTCTCACTTTCCCTCTCTCTCATTTCTCTCTGGTGAGGGCATGTGCCCTGTGGCAAAATTAAAACAAAAATAACTAAGTAAAATAAAATAATTCTTGAGAAAAAAAAAGAATCCTCTGACATGCAAAGGGGTCTTGAATCTTGTGACATGTAACTGGTCCCTAACGTGTCATAAACATGTCACTTGAATTCTGTTCTATTATCCAGCTTTGACCTTGTCTTCGAAACCATGCCCAAGTTCTAGGACTTACAATAACTGTTTCTTAATATAGTTAGGCCCCCGTTTAAAAAATATCTAATCATACCTAATTTATAAAAATCCAATTACTGCTCCAAGCACTTTATTATCATTTTTTTAAACTGTATGATAATTCTGTGAGGTAATTAGTACCATATCTCATTTTAAAAAATGTTTATTTCTTTCTTTCACGAGAAAGACAGACAGAGAGAAACAGAGAGACCGCACCCCTGAGGCTGCTCCCGCCCCCCCTCGGCCGCAGCCAGCCCCAGATCAAGGGCACACACGTGGGAGGTGGAAGCCCAGAACCTTCCTGGGGGCCGGCCTCACAGGGCATCGTGTGCTACTCTGTGCCACCGTCAGGCCCCTCTTATTCTGTTTCTGTATTCCGATGAGGAAGTCGAGGCACAGAGAGATCAAGGTCAAATAGCGAGTAAGCGGCGGAGCCAGTGTTGGAGCCTCGATGGTCGATCTCAGACCCTGCACTTCCCTCCGCACTAACACCCTCAAATCCATGGCTCTTAACACCTGTCTTTGCCCTGCCATTTAGTGCTTCATCAAATCGAAGCCACAGTACCACGTTCTTTTGCTCAAATAAGTCCCTGACATGGTCGTTAAGGCACTGGATTCCCACATGGCTGATCACAGTTCAAATCCTTGAGCCAGCAGCTTTGAAATCATGCCAGGTGTGTGTGCATGCATGCCCAAAATTCCTAGAGGAGAATGGAGGAGAAGGGACTGCGGTGTGGCCATCTTCCCTGGGGCGGGTCCTCACTTTCTCTCTCACTGTCTCTCTCTGTCTTTTTCTGGCAAGCACATTGCGTCCTATGGCAAACAACTTAAAAAAATGAACATAGCAAAAAGCATGAAGCTAAGTCGTCCTTAGCCGGCGGGAGACCTGTTTCACACACGCTATGAGTGAGACCCCGTCCTCACTCCCACGTGGAATGGCACCAGAAATCATGCAACAATCTGCTTTTGATCCCATGACTATACACACAAGCCAGTTCCTTACGTGTTGTTGGCGCCATCGTCCCGGGAGGGAAGGTTTCCCTGGCTGGCCACTTGTGCAACTTTTCTGCTGGCCTCCTCTTCGGTCTCACTCAGGCTTTCTGGCCCAGAGCTACCCTCCTCTAAGCTGTCAGGGTCCATGTCATTGTCCTGGCCGCGGCCCTCAAGTTCAGGCTGGGTCGTATTCTCGTGAATGAGGCTTTCTGAGTTAGATTCCAAGGAGTCCTTCAAAATCCCATGCGTGTCTTCTTTCTTATCTGGTGGGGCTGTAGGCTGGACACTGAAGTTGGCGTGATGGACAGGAGACGAAACAGAGAGCTTGGGAATTAGCTTATTCCTACTCATCTTGACAAAATTTCAAAAATTAACGGAGGAGACTCTTGTGGACAGGAGCAGCTGGCTGAATATTGAAAGCTGCGGTTCGTAAAAGCACTACCTGAAAAAAAAAACATTCTTGTGTCACCCTGTGACTGCTGAAATTACCTTGATGCCCATGTTAATCAGGAATTTATTATGGATGATTATTACTAATTTTTTATTTTTTGATGTTTTTGCGTTAGGACCCACACACTCATAGTAAAGAGAGAGAGAGAGAGAGGGAGAGAGAGAGGGAAAGTGAGAAATCACATCCCCGGGGGGGGGGGGAGATGGCAACACCAGAATCCCTTTTCATCCATTTTCCTCCTGGGATCTTGGGCACACACACACACACACACACACACACGTCCAATGTAATATTTTTCTTTGAAATTATTATTTTCTTTGTTATTATTTAATTTGACCAGAGAGAAAGAGAAAGGGAAAATGAGACAGCAAGCCACCAGGCCAGGACTTGACCCACAGTTGGCCATACGGGAGTCCAGCACCTTAACCACTGTGTCACCTGCAAGCCCCTAGTGTGGTTTTCAAGCCACTGGGTCCAGGCCACGTAGGAATCCAGCGACATAAGCGCTACGCCATCTGCTGGCTCCGATCAGAAATGTAAACGAGTAGGAGAACCTTGTTCTAAGACCTGCAGGCTTTCGTTGGGCCCCTTTTGCGCATAGCAGGAAAGTCTACTGGAACAATGGTTGTTTTTCTCTGCACAGAAACACAGCCATGCAGCGCTCAGAGCCAACCTCCAGAGAGTCGGTCCAGCTTTACTGAGGAGATGGATGACTGCTTGGAAGCAGATCCCTACGTGGCGTTTCCAAGGGCTTGTCCCAGACAAATCTGGACAAATCCAAACGGTGAGTTATGGACAGGACTTGGAAGGCCTTGTTTCAAATGGCCAGGGTGACAACATGCCCCTCTCAGGAGTGTTCACGAATAGAGTGAAATGGGCCACGGTCTACCTCTGGGTGTGTAGAGGAAGGAGGGAGGAGTGTGGCTTCCATACTAGGAACTGGAAGCAGGGAAGCTCTGTTGTTTGTAGGCCTAGCACAGGTTGGAAAAGACTCTTCGATACCCAGGGTGCTTCTAGACAGGAACATGTAATTTCCATGGGCATCGGGGCCAGCAGGCGGCATGGCGGTTAAGGCGCCGGACTCCCACATGGCAGACGGCCATTCGAGCCCAGACCTGGTGGCTTGCTTTCTCACTTTCCCTCTCTCTCTCTCTCTGGTGAGCATGTGTGCCCCACAGCAAACATCTTACCAAAATGAACATGGCAAAAAGCACGGGGCTAAACTGTCCTTAGCCAGCAGGAGACCTGTCTCTCACTGAGATGCCTGTGGGAGACCCCGTCCTCATGCCCACGCGGAATGGCACCAGAAATCACATAACAGTCTGCTTCATAAATCAAGATAAATAAATAATTCCAAAAAATTTTAGCTGGACATGACCTGAAGATCCACCTCGCTCAATATAAAACAAAACCGTAATAATGCTGAAAATGACTGAACGAAAGACCTGGTGGGCCTGTGAATCCCGTCCTGAGCGATTCCAAGCCAAGCCGGGCTGCCCACACTCCAGAGAGGGCCGCTGTCCAGGGGAAAGTGGGGTGAAGGGAAATTGACCCAAGCAACACTTAGGAGGGGGATTGTCAAGGAGCCCTCACCGTCCAAGGCCACTGTACCGACCCACAGACCGTCTAGGAAGGGGGGGGGGCAAGTTCACACAGGACAGAAAGGGATGAGGTTTTCCCTCTCCACCGACTGCTCCTATTGCCCTCCGCCTTCTCTCTCTCTGCCCTGCCGCCATTTTCTCCTGTAGGCTGGGTCACAGAAAGCACTCCAGTAAACAGTACTGGAAAATTAGTGTCAATGAGAAAGCAAGCTCCACGTATGTCCTGGACCTGGTGGCTGGCTTTCTCACTCCCCCCCACCCCTTGCTCTCTCCCGCTCTGGCCAAATTAAACATAAATAAATACATAAATAGAGTTAAATAAACAGAATTCTTTAGAAAATTTTCAAAATAAATCAAATTTAAAAATTAGTTTTCAAGGGCTTGCGCTTCCCTTTGGCAAATCCTCACCTGAATTAAGTAACACAACCTATTCATATCGCTAGGGCTGCTTATCGTGTTGACTTTTGCTCGGTTTCCAAGCAGCACGGTCAGCTCCTTGGAGGAAAAGCACCTCTGCAAACACAACAGAGAGAAGGAGCTGCAGGCACTGACAGAGGACTGACACAGGACGTGGTTCTCCCTGCTGGTGGCCTCCTGCATCACCATCCATTTCCCACTAAGACTGGCTTGCGGAAATATGCGTTGTGTTCTGTCTTAGGGCTGGCTGTTGCTTTCCAGGGTGTTTTTAGAAAGCGGCAAAATCCATCAGGATTTTCTAAAAACAGGCCACCTTGCCTGGCCCGTTTCAGTGCAAACACCTTGTATAAATGCAGCTTTCTGCTAGACTTAAGGTGGCTGTTTCCGCATCTCCAAGAATCCGCCTAAAATAACCACTGCAGGAACCAGCTGTTACCATAATGGCTATGTCGCTGGGCTCCCAAGTAGTAAACCGCGGGTCAAGTCCCGGACAGGTGGCTTAAACTCACCCTGGGCGTGTGTGCGTATGTGCCCAAGATCCCCAGAGGAGAATGGAGGAGAAGGGATTGTAGCGTGGCCATCCCCCCAGGGGGTGATTTCTCGCTTTCTGTCTCTCTGTCTCTCTCTGTCTGTCTGGCGAGCGCACACGCCCTATAGCAAAAATAAATAAATAAATAAATAAAAATAAAAAATAACCGCTGCAGTTCAGTCCAGAGTATTGTTCTTTCATACCGAAATTCCGTCCCTGCGTCCTCTCTTGAGAGAGACTAGGGCTCTTGAGCTGGATCAGCAATACAATGGCGACCATAGGCCGTAATACTGTCGCCGTTTGAGAGACCCTACGGGCAGAAACCCTTAAAAACAAGAAAAGAGGCAGAGCCAAATCCCGCGCGGCTAGGTTTCCTAGGGGCCTGGCCCACCGCGTCCGGGACTGAGTGCAGAGGGGGCTGGCAGGACCGCAGGGCCGAGTAGGGCAGGCGCTTCCAGGGCTGGGCCGGCTACCTGCTGGGACTGCCGCTGCGCCCGGGCCGGGGACATGTCCGAGGGCAGCTAGGGATCCCAGACAGTACAGGAAACGGCCTGTCCCCAGGGCTCCCTTGGAGACCGACGGCCCGGCCCACCTGTGCAGGGACGAACCAACTCCCCTGCGAGGGGGGAAGGACCCCTCTGCGCTCGCCGAATGGGCTGCCCGAAGGCGTTCGCGTGTCCCCCTTCCATCGTTTCTGGGGACGCGACCGGACGCGAGGGGCGATTTACGGTCCAGGAAGCGATGGGCCCCGTGGGTCTGGGGCTCGGGGCCGGCCCTCCTGGGTCGAGAACAGGCTGCTCTGGGAGGCTGTCCCAGGGCTGTCCCGGTGGCGGTCCCGGCCC